TAAACTCTGTAATTCTGTGACGTCTGCACTCGTTGTTTTTGTGTGGCTACACGCGGCCCGACGGGAGAACCTGGGATGAAGAAGTTCGAGCCAAAGAGTTTCTTTCTGAAGAAATATTATAACTTAAAATCTTCTTCAACACTGCAAAGTCAAGTAATTCTGATCTTTTATCCTTACCCCTGAAAGGTGATGCCAGTGAATCCAGTTTGTTTCGTAAAACAGTTGAAACACACAGAACAGGACTGAAGGAGCTCCGATCCTCTGCTGCCACATACAAGATGGCGGCCGCTGTTACGTAGGACTCAGCGCCCAGTGAGGGTCTAGTATTCATGTCTATGGAAAGCCCCTATTTTCATTTAGCTCATGCTAGTAGCAACACGAAGGATCAGAACTTTTACTGTTACAGTTTCCGTTTGGAAACTACCGTAATCAGTTCAGTTAAATCTAAACTTGGCAACTTTTTCTTTTTCAACCGTAATAAATGTGATATTCAATTGACCTGTTATGACTCAAACTTTGGGTGTCCGCCCCCCTCTGCTGCATCGCTGTGGAAAACCTGGAGCGGCAGAGAAATCTGTGGTTTATATGTGTATGTTTAGTGTTTTTTTAAAAAAAACTTTGGGGTTGCGGCTTATAGTCTGGAAAATACGGTATTTATTTCATAAATAGTGTTATTATTTATTTCCTGGATTTTTTCTGTGAAGAACCCAGTGAGGGTTATTTGATTGGGCTTTCTGGAAAACAATACATTTTTACATTTAGGCTCCTGCAGTCGTCACTTTTTCTGTTACATCGGCCCCCAGCAGAGAAGGGAAAGTTATGTGGCCCTCAGGAAAAAGTCTGGGGACCCTGGATTAGATGAACAGTCGGGACTCTTCAGTTAGTGAAATGACTCAATTTGCATTTGGTCTTTCTGGCCACAATAGAATAAAAATAACTTTGAAACTAGAAGTCATTATCTTTTTACTTATAAAACTGACTAACATGAACAATATTTTTGGGAAGAAAGGCTGTTTATTTGAATGATTCCAACACAAAATGATTATTTAAAGCCACTTTAAACACATCAGAGCTCGGCTCTGGTTCCGATGAAAACAGGAAGCTGAGCGGATCACGTGACGCGCCGCATTGTGACGCAGAGTCAGCTGACTGCAGAGGAAGCCTCCATCCTTCTCACGACCTTCATCGTTTCGCCGTTTTTCTGCGGTTCTGTCCCCGGTTCTGTCCCCGGTTCCGTCCCCGGCATGGCGAGTCAGTCTCAGGGCATCCAGCAGCTGCTGCAGGCCGAGAAGAGAGCGGCGGAGAAGGTGACAGAGGCCCGGAAACGTGAGTATAAGAGGCGGCCTGCGGGACGGCGGGCAGCCCGCTGTGGGGCTGCTGTGTTGGGTCAGAGCCGAATCCGGTACCGGGCAGCGGGGCGCTCAGACCGGGCTCAGGCTCGGTGGGTCTGGTAGGACCCGCTCGGACAGATCAGTGGTCTCCTTCAGGTGCCCGCTGCAGAACTCTGTGATAAAACCAGCAGATTTAACTTTTACCGTCAGCTGCTCGGTCAGCATCGGAACATTTTACCGAACCGGAACCGGTTTCTGAAACGAAAAAGTTCCCTCACTTCGTCGGCTCACAGTTCATGCAGCTCTGTCCGGTTCTGGAGGGTATTCTGCCCGCCACCTGTACCGAACCGTCCGTGCTGTTGGTCTGAGACATGTCCCGAACTACTGAGAACCGGACCGGTTCGGCTCGGCTCATCAGAGAGGCCCAGACAGGACGATAAAGGTTCCTGTCTGATTCCGTCTGATGGTAACATCACGTGATGTCCTGGGATTGGCTGGTTCGGTAAACAGGGCTCGGTTCGACCCAGAAGAGTTGATGCAGAGGTTCCGAATGGAGAACCGGAACATGCTTAGGAATCCATGAAGACGATTTTAATCACCAATTTTTTGAAGGGCTTTTATTTTGGTGCTCAGGAAGTTTGTTTGAATATTTCCTCTGGCTCACAGCCCGCTGACCCAGTTCTATTGGACCGGAACCAGAGGCCAAACCGGGTCTTTCTGGACCTCCTTGGGTTCTGAGGAAAAATAAAACTGTTGGTTGGCTTAAAGCTGCTGGGCTGTGGTTCTGTTCTGATCCGAACCCTGGTTCTGAAGGTTCTGTTCGGTGTGCAGGGAAGAACCGGCGCCTGAAGCAGGCCAAGGAGGAGGCCCAGGCCGAGATCGAGCAGTACCGGCTGCAGCGCGAGAAGGAGTTCAAGACCAAGGAGGCAGCGGTGAGTCGGTTCTGATCTGGTTCTGATCTGGTTCTGACATGGATCTGGTTCTGATCCGGTTCTGATCTGGTTCTGATCCGGTTCTGACCTGGTTCTGATCCGGTTCTGATCTGGTTCTGACCCAGTTCTGATCCGGTTCTGATCTGGTTCTGACCCAGTTCTGATCTGGTTCTGATCCGGTTCCGACATGGATCTGGTTCTGATCCGGTTCTGATCTGGTTCTGATCCGGTTCTGACCTGGTTCTGACCTGGTTCTGACCTGGTTCTGATCCGGTTCTGACCTGGTTCTGACCCGGTTCTGATCCGGTTCTGATCCGGTTCTGATCCAGTTCTGATCTGGTTCTGACCCGGTTCTGACCTGGTTCTGATCTGGTTCTGATCCGGTTCTGACCCGGTTCTGATCCGGTTCTGATCCGGTTCTGATCCAGTTCTGATCTGGTTCTGATCCGGTTCTGACCTGGTTCTGATCCGGTTCTGACCTGGTTCTGATCCGGTTCTGACCCAGT